AAGAAATCCCAATCTCTTATATACACAGGAAGCAAATGTAAGAACACCCTTCACTTGCCAGCTACATACTATGAAGACTAAATGTAAGACAACCGGGGAAAAAAAAAAACAAACAACTGAGGGGTTAGAAGAGAAACACAGAGCATCCTGCGGTCCTGCAGTCCTTCAACAGCTGAGAGATACGAGCACACCAGCTGATGATCAAATGCTGGCAATGCTTCTGAATTTCCTCTTCTGAATGTTAACCAGAGACCTTCTTAAGGGTGCTATCTCAGCCATGGCATATGCTGGGAACGTCCCCAGGGCACCTGAAATTAGAACCTGCTCGCAAGCAGGATAAACTGAGATAGACTCTAAGTCAAGAGCCGAGTGAGGCAGATGACCCTTCAGCAAGGGTGATGCCCATCATTGTACAAAGGTGATTGCGTAAGGAAGGACTAACTACAGCTCAAGAACTTAATTAAGTCTTACTCTGGTATTCTCCACAAGGCTGAAAACCATCTTTACAGAACCTACCTACACTGAGAAAAGGAGCCTTTTTCTTCTCCATATAGAATCATTCATTGTCATTGGTAATGGGTCAGAAAGTCATCAGTAACCCCAAGAAAGTATGTAAGATCCAGCATCCATGAAACACCTGATTATATTGACTCTGTACTTCTGTCATTTTTTACCCTTTAGGGGAAAAAATTAAAATCATTATTTTCCAAGTGGCATTTAAATCAACTGCTGGTAATGGCCTGCAGTGTCACAAAGTGGTCACAAAATTAAAAACAGGATTAACTCAATGAGGAAAGCAGTTCCTGCTTAGCCCTGAGCTGGGAGTACAGGCATATCCAAAAGCATAACACAGCTGCTCATAGTCTAGCAGATATACAACAGAGAAAAAAGGGGTTTTTAAGTGAAAAGTAAAATGTGGTAATATCATGCCTAACTGCAAAGGTAGGCTTGCAAAGGTGTGACCTTTTATGTGTAGAGGACCAGATTTTAACCTCATGTCCTGAAGGCACCTCCATATTTATGTATAATATTTATATTAATAGCAGATTTTTTTTAATAATTAAACTAAAAGAGCAAATCAGCAACAGCGGACGTTAAAGAGTTTTCTGAATTTCTTGTCTGAAGAGAGTTATGTCAAAGAGTAAAGACACATTTCATCAAACTGCTTAAAGATTTGCAACTGGGTTATCTGAAATTTCACAAATTAGAGGATTTTTCTCTATATATCTACTGTTTGCTAAGTGATAAAGGAGCAGCTAGCGTGGTCCTTTGAACCTGACTTGTGATTGCTTTCTAAATCAAGTAGTCCCTCATATCTGGGGGTGTAAAATGCTGCAGTCTATGTTCTTGAGCCAAGATCTTTTCAATCTAATATTCTGTCATACCTTTTTGCACAGATTCGAGTAATGAAGGTTTGGAGAGAGCGGGAATTGGGTTTCTATACATATATATATATATATATTTCCTCTGTAAATTCCTCTTGGCACAAATCTGTGTGCTCTTTAGATCTTGTAACAGCTCATTTGTACTAGCAAAGAGAGATTCAGAGATAATAGTTTACAGCCTATTTAAAATATTTTGGAACTTAAAGGATGAATGTAATTTGGCTGGTAAACATTGAACACCACAAAGCAAAATTAACTTAGGAACTCTAGGCGTTTGTATAATCTGTTTAATGTTACTGATTGTTAACATGTTATGGTGACTGCATTTTATCCAGTGAAATGTATATGGGGAGCATTACAGATTTCTAAGCCATGACTTGTATTTATTCATTAAAATAATATCAAGTAGTTACTTTGTATTGCTTTCAGAAAATGGAAAACCTAGCATGCAACTAGTACAAACACCCAGTCTTGCAATGACACTGCCAGAAGGTATCTTTGACGGAACACAACAAAAGAATCCAAGAGCCCATGTAACTGGGCAGCACTTGGAACATGCTCTGTAGGAAGGGGATAAGACATGTTCTGATGAAAACAGGTTCACACAATCACAGACTGGTCCAGGTTGGAAGGGATCTCTGGAGGTCACCTGGTGCAACTCTCCTGCTCAAGTAGGGCCACCTAGAGCTGGTTGCCCAAGACCATGTCCAGACTTGGAATATCTCCAGGGATGGAGACTCCACAACTTCCCTGGGCAACCTGTGCCAGCACTCGGTCACCCTCACAGTAATGACGTGAGAAGGTGGCAAAAACTTATTAATTGTGCCATAAAGGATGGCTGGATTTCACAGATGGTTATGGGGAAATTCTGTGAGGTCTGGCCATTTCTCACAAATAACTGAAAAACTATACTGGGGACCTTTTGGGAAGCACTATCTTGCAAGGGCCGACAGCACCAAGGTGATTCTATACAAATCTGAGACTACCTAAGAAACAATATCAGAAATACCAAATTTGGGTAGGGATGTAGCAAAACTGGGACCAATGGAGAAAAAAGTAATCAGAGGTGGTTGGTTTGTCTGAGAGGGAATGAGGCTGGTAAAGGGGAAAAAAAAGGAGATGGGAAATGGGGGAAGAAAGGGGATCTAAAGGGTAGCTAATCATAGGATCAGGGATATTTAGAGTCCATGTCAGACAGCCCTGCACCAGAATGCAGTATTTTTCAGTGGGGCAATAAATCTGCTCTTTCCACCATTGGCTGACCTGCTTTCATGGCCAGGAGGGACCTGGTGTCTTTCCTTGAGTTGGGTGGAGGAAGCCTGGGAGCTTTCCTCCTGACACTCGCCAGGGAATACCTGGAGGGGACACCCAACATATCTGCCCTCCACAGCCTCCTGCAAGAGATGGAGGCGATCCATACCATTGATCCACTTTTCTACATCAAAACTGCACTGGTAAATAAATCAATTAATCAAAAGATGAAGTCAAACACCGTGTTAATGCTCTTAAATGATTTAAAACAAGACCATAATCACTGAGACTACTTTTTTCTAATCATACTACTGAAAGATGAAATAAGTTATAAAAAGTGCCCATGACAGCTTTTCATTGATTTTGTACAATCTTTTTTCAGATCTACCCCAAAAAAATCTATTATAGGGCAGACATAAGAAACTCAAAGGCATTTTGCTGTTTCAGGTGCACATCTTCTTGTAGAGAAAGTTTCATACGTCGCATCTCTCTGCATGCTAAGAAACAGTATAATTTTTTTATGCATGACAAAGACCCAAACAAGGAGCACAAAACTAACGTTTGTAGAAAAGCTGTATTACTTAATGGGATTTTCCCTCAGGAAAGCTATATCTGGTATATATTCTCAGTTTCATGATTCTTATTCTGTGTGCACCTCCTTTTTTACAGTAAAATTAAAAGTATGCAATTATTTTGGTGTCTTGGAACAAAACCAAGATGCAGTTCTTTACAGAAGGTCCAGATGAAAAATCTGAGTAAACCAACAGTTGCATTCTGCATCACTTAATTACAAAAAAAAATAAAGCATATTTTTAAGCTACTGCTATTATTGCTTGCTTTTTATTTTATCAGTGTATTTCACAAGAAAACTAAAACCATCATGACACTGTGAGGATAAATACTTAACATTACTTTGAAATAAGTGGAGATCCTGCTTTTGCCAAGACAGTGGTCTGCACAGTCCCAGAAGTCATTGTTACAAACACTAGATTAGTGGGGAGAATTGATGCACCTGCCTGCTCATTGCACTTGCCACTGTTTTCCATTATTTGATGTCCTGCTGTAGGAGAAAGAAGGAGTTCAAACTTTATTTTATAAAAGAAAACATATAATGTGTAACTACACTCCAGAAATAACGATAAGCAAAGAGGTCCTTGCATTTCCCTTTCATCAGTTGCTCAACTGTCGAATTGCAAGGTATCCTGTTACAGCTTTCACAGGGCCCGAGCCTGAGCCATGTCAGTAAAGGGTTTGCAACTTCAGAGAAAGAGTAGGATGAAACTGTACTGTGAGAGAAAAGGACTCTGGGTTTACTAGCAAATTAACTGCTATGCCAAGAGCCAAGTAAAAATCTAGGAAATGTGTGAGGAATTATCCAAGAATGATACAAAAAAACAACTACTGAACAGCAATTTTCAACAACTTCCCTTGCCTGCCCCACTAGAGTGATGCAATTAAAATAATCTTATTGAGACATGGGGATGCAAAAGGCAAGTTATGCTTCCTGGAGCAAGGACACAGAGAAGAAAAATCAAGTAGTGAATAGAGATGTCACTATTTTCAAGGCAAGATTTTATTTAATTGGGCCCTAGGTTTCCTGGACCAAGAATTTTGTTCCTTTGCTCACTGTTCCAAGTCAACATTGCTAGCAGAGAGATTATTTTGTCCAAGTACCATTTCTGCCAGATATATGAACCTCCACTGAAGACTAAGCCTCATTTCAGAGCACACTACTCTCACCTGAGGCTGTAAAGATCAATGGTGGTATCAATGCTGACAAAGCTGACCTCAAAGTCCTGAAATTTGACATGGGAAGGGCTGTAAAAATATGGATCACTCGGAGTGACTGTGACAATAGTCCAAGCTGACAGCAAACAAGCCCGTGGGTAAACGGATTTCTACTCTTTCTCTGAAACTAGCTTTTTCTTTTAAATGAAATCTGTCATGAGATCAGATAAAAAGATTGGATACTTTAAACATGCGGATGTTTGGCTCATCAGTTTTAGAGTCTAAAAACTGCTGATCAACAACCGTATTTATGGAACAGAAACTAACCTGCTATACCTATAAGTTATGAAACAGGACTATTTATATAATACACAAAAAACCACGGTGACGAAAACCAAATTCTTACTATGACTAAATCAATCACCAAAGTGCATCTCTTGTACATCCTTGTGAAGCACCCAGCTCCTGGAGACAGCAGTCACAGGTGAGATGAAAAATAACTGTAGCAATAACAGCCCTATTAGTGCTGCCAAGGTATGGATGAAATAAACCCAGCACCCACACACTGCAACATCTTCATGTCACCCTAACAACATCCTTTCACAATGAAGTTGAAGTGGCAGGAATGGGACTTACCATCAACAACACGCTCCTAAAGAGGTCCATATCTGCTGTCTCGGTAAGCAGGTGAATGCTGGCAACATCTGCCCCGCCACGGTCAGCTCCTAAAGAAACCCGGCTTGGATCTCCTCCAAAGCTAGCAATGTTCTGCTGCACCCACTTCAAAGCTGCCAATTGATCCAAAAGGCCAGCGTTTCCACTGGCCTCGGGAGAATCTATTGTGGAAAATAAATATATAGGTCTGAAAAGGAATAAAACTATAGACATTTGAAGTTTTGATTAACTGTTACATTTTTAGCAGCTCTTTCAGCTGAACCTTGACAAAAACGATACCAGAGTTTAAAAGTCTGAAGTGGTCTCTTCCAAGGTCATCATTTCACAGATTGACTCCATTTCAGTTTTTACCACACCACCAGGCATCCCTGGAGGTGCCTAATTGTCTGTCCTGATGATAGAAAAATAACTCCTACTTCTAAGCTTCATTTGGACACCTCATGGCAGGAGACTTGAATCCAGGCTTAAGTATCCATAAATTAAGGTCACAAGATTCTTTTTCTACATAAGTAGCTTTATCTTAAAATGAATTGAAAGTAAACAAAAAATCAGTGTGTTTGCCAAATTCTCAAGTTGGAAGGGACCCATAAGGATCATCAACTGTTTCCACGGAGTACACCTAATTGCATCTGTTTGCTTCCTACATCCCTTTTACATTTACCCTGTCTGACCAATCATTTATAAGTCACATCATCTTGCATTTCTTTACACATGTACAGATATTATTTTATAATTTATAATATTTCCATATATATCCTTTGAGATTGACCTGTCTAACTGATAGAGGTCTGATTTATATGTATTCATATTTTTGTTCCCATGAAAACAAAAGAAAAATAATTAATCATGCACTCCCCATGCTTAGGTATCACCACTGAAAAGACTACTTTCTTTTCAACACCAACCAGTGGTAACCTGATACTTTGATTAATAGGAAACTAATGCTGAAAGCATCTAATGATGCAAATCTCTAGGCAAGCTTAATTTTATATCAACAAAAGCAGAAAAAAGTAATTCCTACACAGTCTGTAAGAAAGGAATAGAAAATGATTATTCACTGTCTGCTTCTTTTCAATCCATGAGCCATTCATTTTTAATGATTTTAAATTCTCTACATTTAAAACTTGGAAGAAAAAAAAACCCAAAAAAAACCAAGACAAGACAAAAAAGCCAGGAATAGAAACACAGCTGAAACTATTCGTTTCTTCCATTGCCAAGACCAAATAGTACAATTGTAAAGTAAGGGTAGGCTCAGAAACTAGTGAATCGAAATGTACAGATAGCGGAATAAAAATCTGCATCTTCGTGGACAGGTAGCCCTGTCTCAGGCAATGAGCAATTGAAAGCACACATCCTGTAGTAGATATCCATATGCCTGCCTTAATGAATTACTGAGATATCATAGAGACCAGTTTAAGCACCAGAATAGAACATAAAGGAGACCAGATTATTAATAACCTTGCAGATCTTACGGATACCCACATCACAATAGCCATTCCTGTAAGTGCCCTTTCAGTAGGACAGCCAAGAACAAAATGGCTCCAGAAACTACAACCTTCCACCTATAACCATAGCTTCAGAAGATCAGGCCAAGCCACACCAGTGAAGCAACAGAGGAAAAACTTTCCCTGTGTTAGTTTTTAGGTTTTTTTTAGTTTGTTCTGCACACCACAACCAGTTCCCAGGGTTCTTAATCCAGCAATAAACCCACTCTACCCTGTTAAAAAGGAAACCTCATTTCAAGGGCTTGCTGCATGCCTTGTGAGACCTCTCTAGAGGAAGTGAAATCAATGAAAATGTTTTAGCCACACAATGTGCCTCACTACCAGTATACTAAACAACAAGACTGAGGAGGGAAATATAACCAGTTCCTTTTGCCCTGGCAAAAACCACAGCCAGGTTGTGAAATGTACCACACAGGGGAACAGATGCATGCACGGACGTTCATGGTAGTTAGACCAAAAGACACATGTCTGCCAGGAATCTTTTCCACTGCCTTTTTGCAGGAAAAGATCACGTTACTGAGGACCACAGGAGAATGAAAAGAAACCAGTGTTCAGAAGGAAGCAAATAAGGACATACATATGCATTTCTGTTATTACTAAACTGGAGAAGAACAACAGTGCTAAATTTAAGCATGAAAATCATCCTGTTTTATATGACTTTGTGGACTCTTAAAAGAATCAGGCCTAAAAACATAACTGTCTTCTCCATACTCTTGCCGTCCATATCACTGGCAATTCACCTGAACTTTTCTGCATGCAAAGCGAGAGGTGAAGGCACTAGTAAGAATGTGCATTGCTTTTGCAACATGAATGGGTGACAGCAAATTATATTAAACACCCTTTATACTTAGAAGAATAAGAGCTCTTTGCTTGCAAAAGCCCTGTCAATGAGAGACCAAAACAACTGCAGAACTAACAAAAACAAACAAACAAAAAAAAGGAAATTGTTTTCACTGCCCTTCATCCCCGAAAATCTCCATTTAACTCCTTCATTTCTAGTTTTGCAATCTATAACAAGTCAACATGAGAGGATTCAGCACTTTGCTTAGTTGGACAATGAAACTGATATTGCTCACACAATCATAACTTTTGCTTGTAACTTCAGGACCGTCTAACAGTCCTGCTGCAAATGTCCCCACAGTCCTAAGGGTGAGCTCCTGCCAAGGCAGGAAACTGATGGCAAAACTTCCAAAGGACCTGGATTTGTCCAAGTCTTTCAGTAAGAATGGAAACATCCTTGGAATATCATTAAGGATTTAGTTTAAGTCTTGAGAAAAAGCCTTATAGTATTTGACCCAGCTTGATAACCTTCATTGAAAATCCCCAGTGGCTACTGGTCATGTAGAGAAGGAGCCAGAGGTACTCCACCAACCTGTGGTGGACCAAAGAATAGATCTTGCAGTGGGAGCATTGCTCACCAGAATGGGTATGACTGACAATCCATGCTGACAGGGAGCCTGGTACAAACATACCCCACCTCATGACCCCCACATGGACTAAAGGGGACATAGAGGAGACAGGAGTGTGACACTGAAAGAACTTTTAGGGCTTCCCATGAATGTGGTTCTTAGCTTGCTTCAATGACTCTTGCAAAGAGCTTTTCCTACTTGCTCCAGTTCCCTCTGAAGCAATAGGATTTTCCCAAATGCACACCAAGGATTCCCAAAGGGGAAGAGGCCAGAAAAGACTGCACTTTTCCCTGGCTGCAGCTCCACATTACAGAGAAGGAGGGGGCCCCTGAACACTCCCTACTCGTAATGAACCACCTCTATCTGAAGGTTTGCAGGAATACAAATTTGGTACATTCGGCTCATACACTGACTCTTTGGGACATGGGAGCAGATCCCTAGGAAAAAGAGGCTGGAGAATTTTCCTGATCCCTAAATTATGGACCATCATATAAATACTGCTATACAATATTCAGCCCAGCTAGCAGTTTCCACTTAGGAAGAAACCTAGGTGAGATTCACAGGGCTGAACGAGGTTAGTGGGTAATGCGTGGGCAGTGCTGCGTAATGGAAGCTTGCACAGCACGTATCCACACTGCATTTGGCTCTAGCCAAAATGGTATCACTTTCATAAGCATCTGGTTTGCACTGATGAAAACAGTGGTTCTTTCCCCAGGTACAACTATTACCAACTTCATATCTAAATGAGTAAGGAGTTCGTAGTGCCAGCTCTCTAATTACTGAATGAAAAACAGGCTTTGCCGGGAGCAAGCTTTGAACAAAACCATAAAACAAAGAAGGGAAACAATAACCAATAGCTGCAGCTATAACCCCAAACTAGGCAAAATCCACCCAGCATCACTAGCAGTAAATACTCAAAAGAATCATGATGCAAAGTATGTAGGTCTGGTATTTGCAAAAATGGCAAATATAACCTCCTAAAGGTTATAAAGGTACTAAAATGTCCACTAGAGAGATCAAGGATTGCCACTGGACCAATGGAGCCAGAACTCCACTTGCAATTGTTGCATTTTCTCTCCATGGCTCTCTACCTTAAGTTCCCGTGTACCAGCCAGAATTGAAAGATGGTATAAAGAAAATTGTTCCTTACTTGCTTTAACAGGCAAATCTAATAAAAGGCAAAATGAAAAAAACAATCCCAAAGACCAGATGGCACTATCACAAAGGTTTAGGGAGATGTGAATGTGCATTTTCATGTGCATGTGCCTCTTTGCACAAGATAAAATCCTTTATGTAATGGGAATTTGTATAATTTTTAATGGCAATTGACATTAGGAGGCAGTAGGAGAGCAGAAGCGTCCTTTACACTACTGTATGGGGAAGGGAGGCAAGCACAGAACATGCGAATGTGCAGTCACGTCCAGGACAGTAAAAGGGGCTAACAGAATTCTAATTAAACATGCCAAGTCCTTCAGAAGAGAAGTCAGGCTGAATTACCTGGTGGAACCACCCATCTTGCTATACTCTCCATACTTCCATGGCCTTCTTACCATTAACCTGCAGTTATCCCTCTCTGTCTCTCCCTAACTCTGACACAGGCACAACAGAGCATTAGAAAACTTTCATGGATGGAACAGCTGGAAATCAGAGATGTTGAAAACCATATCCACAATGACAGGTCACTGAAATTAGCAGGAATTTTAATGCCTAACCTATCTTTGTGTGTGCCTGCAAAACTCAATATCCACAGCTTCATCTGCGAACAGAAGTCTAGCCAGTGCATTGATATAGACGCTTGGTTTTTTTTTTTTTCTTGTCACTTTGCCTCCAGCCTCTCCCATTTCTCTTCAGATCAAGTCCCCACCATTTCTTGGCCATTTTTTCCCCCCAAAAATAATCAATGAAAGATACAGGTTCCTCAAATTAAAAAAATAACTTACCTTTTTTAAAAAATAATTTTATAAAAATAGAAACAGAAGTGTTACAGAATGCAATTTAGCCCATAGCTGTGTTTGTTCTAGAAATCCATGACTTACCAGTACTAAAGAAGCCAAAAACACCAACTCGGTAGTTTGCCGTCACAACAATGACATTACTGATGGCAGCTAGGTATGATCCATCTATGGTTGTCTTTCCCGCCTCAGCATTGTAACTCCCTCCATTGTGGAAGAACAGCAACACTGACATGTTTTTGACCTGCCATGACAACCACCAGGTTAATATTCCTTGTAGCCAACTGCTTTTGTAGATCACCAATGAGAACACAAGCATCTTTCCCATTAACATTATCTAAGCCATTCATAGCTCTTTAACAGTGACCATAATGAGGGGATATCTGGCCATCTGTCTGAAATTCTAGGGCTAAATTGTCCACAATGACCTATATACCATTAAAGAGGACACTATGTCCAGTATAAAGAAGATTTAATGGCACCACTGTGTTCTACCAGCCAACAACTCTACCAGGTTAGCTCAAGGCACTCATCCTGAGGACTTGGTCATTGAGCATGTGGTGGGCTCATCTTTGCCGTAACGTGTCTGCTTTATACAAACACACAGGACAAGTTGAAACAAGTGGGAAACAGGAGAAGGAAAAGGCCTGTTGGGTTGCTTCATCTTGAGCAGGACTAACTCAACAGCTGTGCAGGGCTGCTTCCTACTCTCAAGCTTTCAGCACTTAAACACTGCCTAGTCTCAAAAATCTCATTTGGCAAGAGCTCCTCGTTGCTCCTTCCATCCCCATGCAGGTTTTCCCCTACTAGATATATAGAGGGGTCCTGCAGAGAGGACTTTGTCTCTGCATAGGAGAGACTCACCTCTCATGAAGCACAGAGGGTGTCTGCCCCGAGAAAGCCCAGCAGGACTGCTGGGATGGGCAGGAGCTATGATAGGCTGCTGCCTACGTTAGCATTCCTTGCAGAGTCACCCGATTTCACTCAGAAACAGAGGCTTTTTCCCAAAGCAGCAGTCCATGTGTGGACTCTCTGCACACGCAGCAGGGCTGTAGCCTGGCTGCTGCTGCATGAGCAGCACAAAAGCAGAACTGCCCCAGGAGACCTCAGCATTTACCAGCAGATTACAGCTCTGTCAAGATGTCACTCAGAAGAAATATGACTGAAACATAGGGAGGGGTTTTGTTTAGATTTTTGCTTTCTTTTTTTTTCCTTCCCACTGCAAAAAAGCAGAATAACCTGTTCCAATGCTAAAAAAAGTTTTTTCGAAGTATAACCTCAATTTTCCATTCAGCACTTTCATCCCCTGTTGCCCGCTTTGGGACTATCCCGAAGGAGGCTTCTCTCTCCTCTGCTCAGCAGCGGGTCACGCACACCCACCCACTTTCTGCTCTGGCAGCTGCTGGTGTTTTTCAAAGAAGGGCTAGTGGCCCCTGCAGCAGCATCAAAGTACATCTGAGGTTTGTTTTTCCCTGAAGCTAGAGGGCATTGGGCTCTGTTGCTGTTATTTTCTGAATGGAGCTTAGCTAAACACAGAAGTCCCATCTGCTCTGGCAAAGGACATCTGCAGCAAAAATGCAACTGGCCGTACAGGAGAAGCAGCAGAGAGGTGATGGTTGCAGCCTCTTGCAAAATTACAGGATAGGCAGCAAAATCCCCTTAGCTGCCCTTAATTTGTCATGATTATGTGCACTCCTCACTTACCTATCTAGAGAACCACTTCAGAGGCTTCTTGTGAACACAACAATGTTACCAAGAAAACCCCAGAAACTGCAAGCACTGAAACATGCTGCTCTCTCTCAGGAACTTCTGCTCCTGAATAGAAATTGCCTAATTCACAGTGCTTTGTCCCTGGTTCCCATTTCTGCACTGCATGCAGCACAGACAGAGAGATGGGGCAAAGAAAAAAATGAAAGAATCTGTTTTCACATGAAAATTCATTCTAAAATACAACCACATTGAGCCATGTCAGATAAAATGTTTTTAAACATGTTGAGTCTGCTCCATCCCCTCAGCTCAGCATGGTTAAGCCTGAGGTTCCAACTAGGCATTTCCCATGTGTCCACAGCCTGCATAGCACCATGACATCCAGCTGCCCTGTAACTTGTATATTACATCATACTGAGCAACTTTACCCAATGCTCTAGTGACGAAAAGCTTAAGAAAGGCATAGGTGGAAGATGAAAGTAAAAAATGGCAAAATAAACCCTGATGCAACAGATATGGAGCAATTTGGGGGAAGATTTAGCACCAGGGCTGTGCCAAGTGTCTGGAGGTAGCATCCCCATTTCTAGTCTGCATCAAGCAATGACAGATCCTTCTCCTATGTAAAGGTAAACTATCATGAAAAATAATCTGGGGTTTAATTCCAAGGGATTTCAATCCCAGACCTCATGGATTTGGGCATTTTAGATGAAGGCTGTTTAATGCAATTGCCTTCCCATTTCTTGTTAGCCATTTTAACAGCATAGCACAATTATTTTCATGCTGTTATTGAACTATGCCTCACAATATGAGATATTTTATACCACCTGTGTATCTATATATATATTTGGTAGCCAATTAATTTTTTACTGTACATTAGCTGCTGGATAATTTATTTTGAATATAAGTGAATTTCCCCCAAGCCTTGTTCTCAACCAAATACTGCAATTAAATCTGTGATGCAGAAGAAATGCAAGACCTTAACTAAAGCCTGCTGGAGCCAGTCTCTTCACCCACCACCAGTTGGTACCAGGCTGAAATGCAGCACCACCAGCGTCAATGCCAGGCTGCAGTGGGGCACACGTGGGGCAATGCTGGGCAGAGTGGGGCCAGCACAGTCCTCGCAGACAGGTCACGGCTGCCACATGGCAACTGCCCAGTGCAGGGTTTTGCTCCATCCTTAGCAACAAAACACAGACAGCCACGGTTTGAGGTGTAAAATCTGTGGAAAGACTTCCAGCAGGGACATGGTCAGATGGCTCCCCGGCCTAGCTAGTGGGGGGATGTCTTTTGGGGAGCCCAGCAGCTCCACCGTGGTCTCACGCCTGTAGGGGCTTAGGTCCCATGTGCAAACCCTCAAGGGGGAAAGAAGTTCAGCATCCACCAGGAAGCTGCAAGTCAGCTGGAAGTCTGAAAGGCCTTATGATATTCAGAACCATCATCTTCTCTATTCGTCTGTTAAACACTTAATGAGCTACTTGGCAGGAATAGATTTAAACTCTACTGAGCCAGGCAACCTCAAGTGTTTTTACTACTGTATAATATTGCTCTGTAAAGAATTGAGACCAGCAGGGATGATGCGATAAGGATGGGAATAACACATGCAGGGGATGGGAGAAGAGGAGAGAAGGTACACTTTCTATTCTTATTTAGTGGAGTTTCAACTCTTGATCTTACATTCGAACCTTTTGCAAATCAAGCTGAAGCACAGCTTTGCTTTGCTAGTGTGACAGGTGGTGATGGTTATAGGTGGAAAAAGTCTCTCAGAAGTGCCAGTTTTATTTGGAGGGTTATGTGGTACATGTAGCTATGGAAGCAAAATGAAGTGATGTCATTCACCTTCTTCACTGCTTGACACTTAAAGAGTCCTTCAGTGACAGGCAGCAGTCCCTGCACCGTGCTCTTGTTCAGGCTCAAAATGCTCCTGAACGACCTCTGCATTCGCTGCTCTCCAGGAGGTTTTATATTCAGTATTTACTAGCTAATTTAACTTTCCATGGGCTGAAAACTTATAACTATAACTCTGTGTGTGAGTAAAAAATAGAGCTTGCCACAAAAAGAAACAGGAAAATGCCATGCCTTCTGCTCCCAGCTACTTCTGCAAAAACAGAAGTTTTGGTTCTCTCTTGGGCTACACTCACACATGTGAAACTGATTGACTTGACCGGTCCTACTTCTACCTTACACATCTACAAAAGACAGGATGGATTCAGTTCTCAGTACCACTAAGGAGAAAAGACAAGCCAGTTTAGTCTATCAGATGGTGGAAAATACAATGCTTGCAAATAAGCTATCTTGAAAGCAGCACTTAGGCAGAGATGGCAAGCTGCCTGGGACAGTGACCTGATGTTTTCAATAAGCGATGACCGCACTCAAAGCAGTATGACAGTCTGGTGCTGCAGGGAGAAAACAGGCTGCTGGTCTTTCTTGTGATTAAAAGGACCTGCAAGAGACTGTGTGCTGCTGTCGGACAGCTAGACCAGCTATTTCCAGATGTGCAGCATGACAGACTCATAGATTTCTTTTATAACCAGTACAGTGGAAAGAAAAACTCTGTTCCTGTGCTCTGGGATTAACATGTTATTCAGCATCTTTATCCCCAGCCCCCCAGGGATTTGGCCAGTCATCTGAGTTTGGCTTTAACTTGAAGCTTCATTTTATATCTGTTGAGAATGAGAAATTCAAGAACTTTCAAATAACAATTTCTCAGATTGTACCATTTGCCCCGTCATCTTTAAAATATCTATTTTTATGCTCTGCGAGCTGGGCACAAATCTAGCATTGCTTGCTACCCTCATTCCTCAACAGAGCTCCCACGGATGTCAACAGGGGAACAGTAAAGATGAAGGTGAAAAAACCCCGTCTGCTGCTGCTCGAATGGTGGTGTTGATGTGACGTGTTGTAATGCATTATCATCTCTTGGACAAACGGTCTAATTTCAGGGACATTGCCACTTCTGTCCTTAATTTCTCTTCCTTTGCTGCTACCTTCTTCTTGTGCTTTGTTTCCCTCTTGGTATCTCGCTAATTTCTTTTTAATTTGCTACCCTCCTAGTTACCCAAACATGGCTCACTGAAAGCCTGTAGGGAATACTCTTGCACCAGTAAAAACAAACGTGCCTAATTTAACCTTGCAGGGCTTTGTGAACACCACATGAAAAACAATCATTCATGCCAATTAAAACGACTTTGAAAAGGGACAGTGCTCAGCTACAAAAAACTTCGACTCATCTCCTACTTACAGTGGTGGCAGGAACAAAGACGTTCAGGTACAGGCAGTCTTCACTGACAGAGTATGACGGGGCCTCTCCATCTCCTGGCTGCCAACAAGCTGCCCTAGAGACACAGATTGAGAAAATTACAATAAAAAGACTTGTACTCTTTTTCCACTGCTGCTATTTCCTTATATTTTGATGCATTAAGTTTATGAAATCTTTAAATCTGTAGATCTCAATCACGTTTAAAAGTATGCCCACCTATACCTTAGTGGGTTTGTATACACACATACAAATGAAAAAAACACATTGTATTTTCATGTCTAGAATCCTTCCCTCAGAAAACCAGCCTCATTTTAAAAAGATTAGAACTTGAAAATAAGCCTTCAGAAAACTCACGCTTTACATAAACTGCACAAAATTAGCAGCAGATGTAAGAGGAGCGGGACTGGGGGTCTCAGGCATAGGTGTCCCCCTGCTATTGCCTGCACACCTATGTAATCCACTCTTTTGCTGAAATGTCAGTTATTTATTTTAATTTCTAATAGTCTGTGGGCTCCATTTATTTGTATTTATTTTCATTTCTAATGGTCTGTGGGAAAATATGGTAAGTTTAAAATTTTAACACATTTTTAAAATCTGTTTGCTCTAATCATTGTAGCAGACCATTAGCAGTGCCCAGCAATGTTAAAAGTAACCTTTCAATAGGAATTCAGCCAGTCAGCCACGTACAGAAAATAATTTTCTGGCCATCATCTGTATGAGATTTATATGCTCGAGCTCTCTCCACAACAAGAATCAAGTGGATGACTTTTGCAGTTCAGATATTAGATATTCTGAAGCCAGTTCCTTCTACTTCACAGACATATTTATATCACGTAATGAGTTATGGAAAAGCATCACAAGTTATTGGGGAAGAAGCCAAAAGAATCTATGGAAAAGACAGTAATATCTCAGAGAATTATTTCTAAATTATCATTTTTAATGCCTTTGTAAAATTTTACACTGAAGGTGTGAAAAAATTAATAGAAAACTACATGGAAAAGGACCAGCTTTAATGCAATTCTACAACATCTTTCCATAAGGGAGGTTCCTAGGATGGTGATATCATTCAATAGTTTTCACATTGATGTGGAGAAGCATATCATCTCCAACCAAAACTACTAAAGCTATTTTAGGCAGACAAAATACAAATTCCCAGGTAGGAACCCTGCCAGGACAACAGGTCTGACACTTTTAATCGTATAGCTTTCCACAGGGCATCAGGAATCATCACCCGTGCTCATGGCTATTTTGGGGGGTTTTTTTAGCAGCTCATCAAGATTCCCAGCACCTCCAGCTCCCAGGATCTCCTCACGCCGGGACCGACTCCGGGGAAAGGCTGCCACCTGCTGAGGCAAGTCCACAGCTCCTCCAGCAGCTGGAGACTCCAACAGCTGGACAGGTTTTTTTTGGTTGGTTTTGGTTTTTTTTTTAAAGTCTCTTATCAGGTCCAAGCTGATAAATAAACATTTCTCTTCTGTCAGTAATGTCACTGTGCTAATATTTTTCTTATATGCAAAAATATGCAAATATTGTGCAACACCAATATCTCTAGGACTCTATCCTAAAAAATACAGATGTCAACACTTTCTATACACACACAGAGTGAGGTCCCTCTGATTCTCCAAGCGCGCCTTCATGGTGCAAAGTTCAAAGAATTTTTTTTTAACTTTAAATGAATAACAGAAGATTATAGAAGTTCCTCATTGGCCTAAGAAAGCACTGAGAATTCAAAAGATGGGAGCAGGTTAATTAAGGTCCCTAAATTGCTTCAAAAATCTCAGCCAGGCTGCTCATTGCAACACCAGATCTTCAAAGAGAGACCACAGAGGCAGATGGCTCTTACTAAAGTTCTAGCAGACACCACACTGTGGCTGCAAACACAAAGAGCTGATGGTGTGCGTGTTAACCTAACATCACCGTGCACCTGAGGAAACAAAAAGCCACTTCTCACCAGATCCCTCCAACGTATGTGAGGCTGCGTGGCTACTGTGGTTATGCTCTTAATACCTCCACAACTCAGGTGCAACCTGAAGGATGAGACCACCAAAGGCCAGATGCTCTTTCAACTCCTCAAGATAACCCTGCATCTCTTTTCACTGGTTTCGTCACAGGCTTTGCTAGAAACCTCTGGAGACAAATTCTGAGTAATGGAGGGACCATACAGCTTTCACACAGCTGACAGGCCTCTAAATCTGCATCCTCAGGGTGTATTTCCACCAAAGCAGGCGGTGATTAATGTCAGACCTGCAGGGTGCCATCGTCCAGCTCACTTGCATAATCTATCATTTTCTTAACCATGTAAGCCCTTGGCCAGATCAGCTAGCTCAAGTAGTGTGTCACTAACCACGAGGACCACTCCCAGTGCTAGGAATTGAACAGGACTGCATGGCCATCCATGGCTGGAAGGATAACACAGGATCCCAATAGACCTCAGGTCCGTATTAGTTGCCTTGGAAGCTCTTGGGTCGCTAAACTTCAGCTCTCAGCCCTGATTTCTTCAACTCCCTCTACAGAAAGTTCACCAAGTCCTTCCACCAGACTCTCTCCTTTTGACTGTTCTGCACCTTCAATCTCCTGTTTCATGTTTCTATCATTTTTTTTTTTTCTTTGAAGCTCCTCATGTCTGCCATGAAACAGTCTGCTTTTTATTGATAGGAATGTGACCGGGTACCAGCTCTCGTGTATCATATTCCTGTGTCCATGTGCAGCATGGCTTACTCACTTACAATGGGTCTTGTGTGCTCTGTAGTTTGCTTTCTATTATGTGGAGCAGGGATGCACTGTGAGAAAGACCCTGTAAAAAACACTCCACTTTCGTATCTTGTTTTTTGTCATTGCTGCATTTCTATTTGCTGTGGGTTTTTTTTAAAAGAAATCCACTGTCCTAACATGTTCCACAGCACAGACATACTAAGTAGTGTCACCCAAACCCTCTTTTCTTTAAGAAATACACATTCACAATTTGTCATTTTGGTTCCCCAATGCAACAAAATTAAGACGCATATCGTAAGACTAAACGAAACACAAACATGCACGCAAAGGCTGTGTCTACAGAGTGCCTCCAACCTAAACTCACCGAACAGTGATGCCTGTACAGACCTGGAGATCCAGGGCCAGCCAACGGGAAACATTAGATACAGGGACTTAAGAGAAATTTAGCCCATCTGCTAATACAGTTCCTAGCACTCATTTCCTCTTAAGGCATTACCTAAAATGTTTATAACTTCTGTACTTCTGTCTAAGCCATTTAGCAAGTATTTGCTTTTTAATAGTTTTTGGACAGAAAAGACTCTCTGGGTCCTTCAGCCTGATCTCCTAGACACTACCAGGCAGAGAATTTCTGTATGAGGCCCACAGCTTCTGGTTACATCAGTGTTAAAGCGCCCCTGTTTGATTAAATACTCTACAAATTTATGGCTCAGCGGGAACAAAATGTATTTGTATAAGTGTTATAAATACCTGTATAAATACACAGAAAGAAAATGGATTGACAGCAGACAGTCAATGGGGAGTTATGCATAGACTCAAGTACTGGAATCTGCCTTTTTTCTTGAGGTGCTTGCACGCATTCACATATAGACAGAGAAATTATTCTTTTTGCTAAACAAAGTCCCAAACTCGTATTAATCTGTACCCTATAGGTTCTTTTGTAAGAAAGGACATGAATATCATGGTCATCACTCCAGCTACTTTCATATACCTGGACAGAACAAGCATGTCTGCAGATGATCAAAGAGTTTTCTTACCGAGCCACAGTAGCATTCCAGGTTTCCACCCAAGCAAATGGCTCTGGAGGACTGAAGCGCCTCTCTGCAAGGGGAGGTGCAGCATACGGGATCCCCAGGAACTGGCTGATATTTCTCCACTCCAAGCCAACGTGGATCACCTGGGATTTGCCCATCAGATCTCCATGGGATGGGATGTACACAGATGGGGTTAAATCCAATTCAGAAATGGGCAGGAATAAATCTGTTGGGGGGGAACAGAGGAAAAATAATTTGCTTTTTCAAGTTAGTACCATTTCAGAAATGAAAATTAATTCCATTTCCCTTAATTTTAAATTGTTAAGTGTCTAATTCACTTCTTTAAATGAAACATAGATAAATTTGTGTTATTCTCTCCCTATAAAATACTTCATGCTATGCTAGATGTTAGCTGCTGGATACGAACATTTAACTTTCCAAACCCTTAATGAAACATTTCTTCCAGATCAGACATCACATTAGAATATAAATCTGAGCATTTCTACAAAAAGGGAGAGAGATTTTCAGCTCTAAAAAGGACAATGTTAAACCTTTAAACATTTATAGCAAGTCAGAGAGAGGAAAGATAACCACACAGCTCATTGGTTTGGGCTCTCAGCCACTTAAGATCATCAAGTCCAACCTTCAGTCCCCTTTCCAATAGCTGTTTCACCATGCGAGACAGAAGAGCTTCGACAGAAGGCAATGAGCACAACCCATGTCCAAATTCTCTGCAGTCCTGTGTAGGGACTGCTGTTCTTGAAGCGGGAATCACCAGTGCAAGTGCTCACTTTAAGTCAGGCACATGTGTGCCTTCTACATGCCAGAGAAGGGAATGCAAGAGTGTAGGGTACCAGAGGGCCTTCATCACCATCTCTTGCCTTACACTCTATTGTGAATACTGCCATTTTCTTCCACAGAACTTATGACATTATCTACATTTTAGATCAAACATAATTGCTATCTGAATTTATTTTTTGCTTGCAGAAAATTATGAAATATTAGGGGGTTATAGTTTGATCCAAATTTTTTTTCTTTTTTATATAAGGATTATCTGAATCATTGGCTATCTATCCAAAGAAGAGGTTTCTTAGTAATGCCTTACTTTCAGAGCTAAGTGATACCTCGTACTATTTCTCTCCTAAAACAATGTATTTGATAGGCAGCAACCAAATTCTAACTCACATGACTAAAACCAAAATTGTACATAAATATGCAAACACACAAGTCTAGCTTTTATGTCTCAGTCTGTGATTTTGCTTCACTTGACAATGATAAACCCCTTTTTCGCTCATTGAGTTTGAATCTAGAAGGTTCTCATTGATTTGACAATTCTTCACAGAAATTTCAGTGAAGAGAAAAGGAAATATTTCTTCCTTTCCCCCTTACTGTTACCTGTTTTCTAATTACCTCTAATAAAAGAAATAATCAGTATTACATGAAAAGAAAGCAGTGTCTTTTAAAATCAAGGGAAAAAAACAACAAAACTTACAGTTACAAGTAAGTACATAGCCAAACAATAGAATTTTTACCAGTCTACACAACTTCTATTTCTCTCTTAAATCATTTTCACTTCTTTAAAATATTAGTTCATCTTGGTTTAGGGGTTTTTGCTTGTTTGTGTTTGGTTTTGTTTGTTTGTTTGTTTTGTCCAGAGATGGTCCTTAAGATTTTCAATTGACAGTGGGTTTTCAACACGCCTTGTGTTATTCTCAGAGTTTAAAAGGAAGAACATACAGAAACATCTGCAGATGAAAAGGAAGGAGCTGGACTTTCATTGCTGGTTTTTTGTTTGTTTTTACCATTCTGCACTTTCCAAAACATCTTTCATAGACTAGACTTCCTTTATTATACCTGCTTCAACACTAGATGGTAATGCTAGGATTTCATGCATTTTTGTAAAAAGTATCTGGGGACATTTTCCCATCCCGCTTGGCTGTAACTCCACTAAAACAGCAATGGGCAATTGCCTAGGGGACATCCATGTTGCTTTATGTCTAGTGAGGATTTCCTTACTCTTCCACTCACAAGAATTGTGCACAGGCCACCACAGTTGAGTTCCTTCCTCCACACCCTTAACCTGCTCTTACCTTGTCTCCTATAGATATATGTAGCTGGCTCTTTGAGTAAAACCCGGCAGCTGTGCCCTTGCAGGCCATGTGTGCATATCTGCGTATCAGGGTAAAAAAGGCATCTCACTGCTGAAGGCTGGATTTCCAGTGTAACCACTGTACAGGACTGGTTCTTTGAACAAGCTGTGAGGTAAAACGTGAAGAAAAGAGCAGGTAAAAATATATTCTCAAAGTATTTTTTATGACATTGTTATAAGATGCTTAAAATAAAGGCTTTACAACAGGCCAAGAAACAAGGATGTGAAGTAGCTCTAAGGCACAATAATGGAACGTAAATGTCCTCAGATTCCCAGAACATTCTCCAAAATAGCCAAAGGACAAAAGGTTATATTGGCTTTAAAAAGGAGCAATACAGCAAGAGAACTGGTATCACAGGTTTTACAAGAAAAACATTTTCTAATAAAGTGCTGAGGACCTCAGCTGAATTCAAACACTCCCCAGGGAGCCCCAGGGAAAGATTTCCGAATAAGAAAAGTGATCCTCTCACTCATCCCAGTTTGTACTCAGAGGTGGGTATTCAACACTTTTCCTTTAGAAAGGTTCCTTTGAACAGTTACAGGAAAAGAAAAAAACAATAAATTACACTGCTCACCCTCATAAGGTGAGGACCATCTACTGCAAAAAGTGGGACCATTCCAAGGATCATCTTCTGCAGCAGGTGGGAACTTTTCCTTATTTCTACCACTCTGCGGCATCGAGGATTTGCCAGTCATGTGAAGTTAAAGACTCTTTGCTGTCTAGTCAAGCTATTGATCAAAGCAATTCCCTTTGTTGTTACTACAGCCCAACCCCTGCTTCATCCCAGCTCTCAGTTAACCTGCCCTCACGCACCACAGCTGCAGGTTACTTTAGATAATGGTAGGTGGCTCTACCATCTGCCTCACTCAATGAGCTTCCCTTAACTGTTCTTTACAAAATAACGACATCATCCCTTTAATTATTCACTACAATATTCTCCAAGTTGTACAATGACTGGAGAAGCAAGAGATCTCTGCATCCAAGAGGTGTCAAAATTATGTAATCGCTGTATGGCATTTTTTGTCTATTTTATCTTTCATTAGATAAACTATTTCAGATCCCTTCTCTCAAATTCAGAAACATTGGGGTAGTCTTTAAAAATAAGTAAAATCAGTGTATCTATGTTAGAAGGAGGAGGGGGAAGCTGTTCTTGATTTTTCAGGCTCACTAGCCAGCATTTTCTGTAAAGCTATGAATAGCTATTTCTTACCGGATAGACACAAGTCTCTGGCAGTGGAGAAGTCATTGGATATATCTCTACTAACTTGCACAACTTCAAAGTTTGAGATGGATGAATCCATGAGGACAGAGGATACATTTAAGGGTTGCCATATATCCGAATACTCTGTAAAATGAACCATACAAAAATAATATAAGCAGAAGAACCAGTAAAAACTTCAGAGGAAAATAATATAGAAGTAAAAGCACTGGGGAGTTCCCCAATGAAAGACTTTCACCTTCCTTTGGATCAGCTGGGAATAAATGAAATATAATGTTCAAAGGTCTCTGATTGACTAGAGGGTCCAGTCCCATCTTCAGAGGTCATGTACAACTAGGTTTACAAATGTATTCAGTTAATAAAGAGATACATTGGGAGCAGCTCTATCCAGGTTTGCATGTAAATCCAACGGATTTAAATAAAAGTTTTCTGAACAGGCCTAACTACATTAAAAGACATGGCTCATAATGCTTCCACATGAGCTCCTGAGCAGGTATAGACACTAATTCCTTGGAAAGCAAGTAGAGGATCCTGAATGTGACCGAGCACTCCCAGAACCTCCAGCAGACATCCACATCTGTATCTAAAACAGGAGCTGGTTTCCTAAGGTAGGCTTCACCTCAGTCACCTGAAAGGTAGATGTCTACATCCGAGTTAATTACACTAGACTCCTTGTACTATCAGGAGGAACAACCAGTTTTACTATACAATATCTCCATCCTGCTTTAGATGTCTGCTTTAGGATAACACAAATCACCCCCAGGAATCCACTGATTACATGTGCCAGGTGTCCATGTTGTCTGCATAGGGAACCTCATGTGAGTAGCTGAAATGGTGATCTCTCTGTCGACTGTGTACATCTACACACAGAGAGCAAGTCCCGACCTTACAGACTAAGTGAAAATGAGACAACGGTTTTTGCAAATGTTATTTGTCTTCACTTCCCTTACAAGCAATCGACCAAACTCCCACAGAAGCACATGCAATTTTCACAGATTTACAGAATTTTTTTTTAAGGGTCACAAGGACTATTTTGATCATTTTAATTTGATTTCCTAGACAGAATTACATGAAATTCTATGAACTGTTCTAATGTCATTTAACTGCTACATAATTAAGATTTAATTCTATTTCATATGTATATATACACAAATATGTATATATGTATACATACACATGTGAATTTACATATATACAGACAAGTTTATTCACGTATATACACGTACACATGCATATACATGTGGGAGCGTATATATACACATACATACTGACTCTAGTATTCATCAAAAATTATTCTTCTGTCTCACAGTGGCTTTAAAAAAATGCCACAAACATTCTTTTCTCAAACACAAACAGACAAAAATATCTGCAGGCTCTCAATTTTGTACACTGAAAGCAAAAAAGAAGACTTGGGAAAGAATGGGCCTTTAATTAGTTTAGTTCCTTTCAACAGTTCAATATATTTTAAAAGCAAAAGGGCCCTGCTGTGGCCACTGAGTCCTAAACAGGAGGTTGGTGTTACCCTCTCTATGTAATTGTAGGGCAAGGACAGAGCTGAGTCAGCTGTTGCCTTGCTATTCCTGGTGAGCAGATATTGCCCTGCTGCTTGAGTTCATTTACCACACAGATGCAAAAGTTGTGACTGTTCAATCCATCAAAGATTTCTTTTAGTCTTCTGAGAAATGGGTGACTTGCAAGGATGGCCAAAGTTTCCTTCCTTCCCCTCCTCACAGAAAGACAGCTGTGACCATACCACTCAACATTAAATCTGAAGCTGAGATCTGGGGTTCATACAACCAGGGCTGTGGCATGCCCTCCCTGCAACTTGGAAATCCTGGTGTTGACATACTTGTTCAGTTGATGAGAACCCAAGACCCAAAACAGACCACAGACTAGCCTGGTTGTGTCGATCCTTGAGCAAATAGGCAGGGAATAACAATGACTAAATTAGATTTCAAAATTATTGTATTCCAAATAATTAATAACAACACAGGGTAACTGCTACAACCCAGGGCTCTATGTTGATGCTAAATGTCTTTGCTTTTGCAAGGTAAATCCTTCCCAAGGAAGTGTAAACCTCAAGCATGGGTGAGGAACCGACCTACTGTACTCCATATACCTTCCCACACAGCCCAGCCCTAGTTCACATCTGTGAACTAGTGGCAAAAAAGCAGCACTGGGTCACATGGGCCCTTTCCAGCCACTTCAAAATCATTCTATTCCTTTTACATTTGGGAGCAATTCTTTTAAGAGATAGAGGCTGAAAGTCTCCAGCTAAGTAGAAATGAAAGTTAATTTGGTATTGCACTATTATACGTTAAAGACCACAAGCTTACTTGGTATCACAGAGTAGCAAAGTCATCATCAGCACTGTATTCAGAGGGAGTCAACTAGCGAGCAATGACCCTGCAATCACAGCTTGAGTGGTGCAACAGACCCACTGCACTTAATTTTTTCTTCCCCTTAAGTACTGACTATTCAATTATTTTAGAGGAACAGGGTGATTTTAGTCATTTGGAAATTACTACATTTCATATTGACAATGGTTTCTCTATTTTAAAACTGTCTAATATGACCTGTTCCATGACCCATGTTAGAAAATTTCAGCCTCTACATCTAAGGTGACAGTTTGCGGCATTTATTTAGAAAGATACTTAAAAATAGAAATCAACTGTGTAAGTGATGGAGAATTAGCCATTATATCCTCTCCAAAGATTATCTGCCTGTACTACTAGATCCCCCAGGTCTTACTTTTCCAGATTATATCTTGTCAGTTTATGTTTTCAATTATTTCTAATTTTTTTTTCCTGAAAACATGAACAAGAACAGATTTATTTTTTTTTTTAAATCAAAATGACTTAAACTTTGTTTTTACATAAGAGCAATGTTGCCATCTTGCACTGTGTACAGTACTAATAACTGAGGTCCTACTACTGGAATAAGTAATCTCTCTAGGTTCAGAAATAACGCTTCAAATTACTAGCTATGGTTCTTTCAAAAAAGAGCCTTGTCTGAATTCCATTGTAAGTCAACAAGTCTGGGTGTATCAGTGGTTTTGGAAAATATTTCACCAGCCTGACTCTCTTCCCATAGCTTCCCTGACCCACCGAGTGACCTCAGGCAAGTCTCATAATCCTCATATGCCTCCTTTTGCCCACAGGTCAAACATTCAGAAACATTCTTGCTAAGCTAAATTCTACTCTCTCAGGAAGGAAATTCAAAACAATTCCACAAAAGCAAAATAAATTCCTTGGATTTAAACCTCTGACACTTGAATTTTGCCTCCTGTATCTATTTCCCTGAGGTTTACTACCTTACCATTATTAAAATTTTTTGAAGGTGCTCAAATGAAGGTTGTGAGCGCACACTGCCATTGTTAGGTGCATGTAATGTGTTCTACATTTGATCACAAGCTAAACTTCCTATTTCTAGATTAAAAGATTTTTATTTTATCCCTTTATGTGGGGTAGAGTCAAGTTAATAACATTCATTTTAAATACATATAAGACACAATGGGCACTTTGCAGCCCATGCTAGGCACACAAGAGTGACCACTCATGATGCAAACATCTATAGTTCATACATTCATACCTAAAACACATTTTATTTTGCTTATTCTTCACCCCAAATCTCACAGAAGTGACTCTTGCAACCTTCCACTACCCACATGGGGTTGTTTTGGGGGTTGGTTTGGAGTTTGTGGGTTTTTTTTCATTCTCAGTCCTGGATGAAGCATTCATAATCTCAGATCAGATTTATGTACTGAGACTTCCAGTGTTTTCCCTTTCCGATCTTCTGCCCAGCTCACCCCAGATGCAGATAAATGCAGAAACACTAATGCTTATTTTAATGACAGAAAATAGCCCTTTAACCCAGCTCCTTCCATGGCACCACTGTGGACATTGCCAGCCAGCCATTAGCTGAGAAAGAGATTTTGGCTATTAGTTGTTTCCTTCTTCCCTTCTCCTGGCAGCAGGTCCAGAAATGCCTGCAGCCACACACACCCACTTCATTACGTGGGCAAAACAGAACTTTCCACGGCTGATCTAAACTTACTTCGCCTAGAAACTGCTCTCACAAGGCACACAGCTACAAACTGGCACTGCTTTACTGAAAATGCATAGTGCACCTGATGGGCTGGAAGACATTTCTGGTTTATATATAGGTTAAGCTCTGACCTTCCAAACCACATTTTGGCAAATGTTTTGATTGGATAATTACAGCACTCTGAATCCAGCCAGCCCTGTAACTTTTATTGCAAAATTATAGATGTCCCATACAGAGAGTATCCTGCTTCCAGATGTTCTTGTTTGGGTAGGCAAGGTTTAAGACTGGATTTGCAAAAGGACTCACACTGGCCTTACTCTGTTCCCACTCAAGTCATAGGATCACAAGACTGGAATAGATTTCCTGGGGGCACAGAGTTCAACCTCCCACTTTCACAGGCAGTGGCACTATAAAATCCTTTTCATAAAATCAACAAAAGTTTCATCACTGGCTTCATTGGAAGGAAAGAGAGGTCAGTTCTGAGTTTGCTGGAAAATTTGACCTTTGATATAAGGAAACAGAGATACAGAAGTGCAACAAAATAACAAGTTAAATTTAGAAGAAAATTCTTGAAGTTGAGGAGGTATATATAATCAGACGAGGTTAACATGAGATTAAGGAGGTACATAAATCAGATGTCTGGGTCTAGTATGCCTAATTTATGTTTGAAAGACAAATTGTGATCTTAATTCTGAAATTTGTGAGCTATATTTAATAGTCCTGACTCAAGCCAAAAACATGTTTACAGACTGAACTCAGTGCTTTATATTCCTAGCGTTCAGAGGTTTTTTCCAATGAAGACTGCTAACCTGTTTGTATACCAACAATCTCCAAAACCAGCAAATCACCAACTCAGAGTGGACCTGCAGAAAATATACTTTTTCAAAAATATAGCTGCTTCTCATTTTTGTCCATCCACTGAGATCTGAATAATTCAAAATAAGTTATTTTCTTAAAACTGCTGCATAATAACTATAATCACACCTCAGACAAACGTCACAAACTAACAAATGTGTTATTTATGGCCTTCAGCAGTGAGCCAACTTGCTATGCTCATGTTAAATGCAAACTTTCTGCCT